TACAGCCAGGTGAAAACAGTAACACCCCCCCCCCCCCCCCTTCCCAACTGTCACAGCTGGTTTAAATAAAAATACCAAAATCAGGTTTTTCTAAACCAGATTTGTCCTTGAGTCATGAATATTCTGTATAATTTCATCAGATTTTGAAAAACATCCTTCTTTTGATCAGAAACCAGGAAGATAATAACACACACACACCGACCTGAACAGACTCCAGTTAAATCCCCAGCTAAAAATAAAACCAGTTTGTGTTGATAATCTAAAACAAATATGTAATTAGTCCGACTGCAGCTCTCTGTTATATTAGAGGTGGTTGACTTTGGCTCGGTGGCGTCTTGACTAACCCTAATGCCTACCCTGCTGCCCAGTGGAAATAAAACTGCTCGTATATTAGTGTGGTGCTGTGGTGGTGAGAGGATTAGTACGGTGCTCTCCTCCTTCCTTCAATTAGCGCTTGTAGCCAGTAGCAGAGTTTGCAGTGGTTCCGAAAAGAACACATCGACTGTATTTACTGTATTTATGTGACCATCAGAATGTTTTATAGTTCGAAGGCCGAACTGTTGGCGCTCTGGTTTGACTTCCTGACTGAATTCAATAAGTTTAGGCGTGAAAACTCTTCAGCTTTAAAGCGTAAAAGAAAAGAATAGATGTCGGTGGATCTGTGGGGAGTAGACGGTAAATGGTAGATTGTAGGTAAAGATGTGGTGGGAGGAAATCAGTAGACGAATGATCACGAACGATCTGTAGGTACTTCCTTCCAAATCATGTCCAATCACTTGAAGATGATCCAGAGAAATGGGAGGCACCTTCAAGTGTCATAGCAAAGTGTCTGAAAACTTATGTCAGCTTTTCCTTTTTAATAAATTTGCAAAAAATGTGTAAAAGTGTAGATTTAGATCATCAGGCTGCAACATGACAACATGTGCAAAAAGTGGGGGGGGGTCTGAATACTTTCTGAATGCACTGTACTTTCTGACGCCACTTTATTGTATACATCCAACATATGTGTAATTACATACACACACACACACACACACACACACACACACACACACACACACACACACACACACACACACACACACACACACACACAGAGAGAGTCTTGACCTTACTCCCAAATTGGCAGCCCTGAAGACAAAGCCCTGTCTTAGATGGATAGTCTTTCATTTGTGCGTTGGGCAAATTTGCTCTGAAGTTTATGCATCCTGGTAACAGTAAAGCTATCTGAATCCCCCGAGTGCTCCATCTTGTACGCTTTATGTCTTCCACATGGTTATAATTTGAGATTTTCCCGATTTTCAAAGCTTTTTTTGAGCCTAGTGTTGTTAATTAAAAAGTGGACTAGTTTTGTTGTGGCCTTTTGTGTTGCCAAGTAGGGAAATCACCGCCTTCTTTGTTGCTCTCTCCATTTCTTTCTTTGCTTCTCTCTCTCTCTCTCTCTCCCTCTCTCTCTCTCTCTCCTGCTCCCTTGTCCCATCTGCCTTTGTCAAGAATAAAGCTAGCCCCAACCACTTTGTAAATGAAACATCCTACCACTATTAATGGGATTGAGCAGATGTTTTCTGTTTGGATGGTCAGAGATGGGACAGTAAAGCCTGCAGCAAAACAAAACAAAAAGATTTTTGGACCCAAAAAAAAAAAAAAAGCAAAGGCAGATATTTATGGAAATGATTATATCACTTCCCTCATGTCCCATACAGACGCATGTCTCGCGCACATGGCAAATTAGAGGTCATCCCTTCCACTTTAGCGCATGTCTAAGTGCGTGTGCCAGTGATTTCAGCACTAAAACATCGTAAATAACACTGTAACCCCTGGGACAAGGTGTTATAAATAGGACGTGTCAAACCCTGCTCTGGCCAGCCTCTGGTTTCCCCGAAACCCTCTCTTTTCACCCGCCGAGCGGCTCAGCTACTTTTTAATTTGGCCTTCCCGCGGGCTAACCAACTGACGCCTCTCGGCGAGGGCCTCTGTATTTCAACAAGGCCACAAAAGCCCCAGTCCTCGGGCACTCGCACTCACAGAGCTCTCCAGCCTTTCTAAGCTGTTGCTTTTTTGGAGCCCAGACTCTACCATCAGCAGAAGAGAAGCGCCGGTCCCTGGCCAGAACGCAGCGGCCAAGTCTCATCTGTCAGAAACCCAGGGGCCAGACTCTCCAGCCACCGGGTGGGCGGGGCCCGTCCAAAACAGAGAGGAGGAAGAAAGGAAGAAAGAGTGGAGTGTGGGGGAGAGAAGGTTTGAGAGCGAGAGGAAGCTCCCAGATAAACAGGCCGCAGCGCCTCAACTCCTAATCACCCTGCGCTTCCGTTTCCAGACTCTATAATTAGAAGGGCCCCGTCCCTTTTTTCTCTGTATTCCCAGTTGACGCAAATGCTTCTTGTGGCTTGGCACCTCGTTTGGGGCGTGGGTTTTCAAGAGTTTACAGGCCCTGGGCCTTAGCTCTCTGGCTTTCTGGTCGCTCTGATACAGCATGAATAGCTAACCACTGTCTTAATGCACACTTCACTTGGCTTTTCTTCTGCTTTCCTCCCTCCACCTCTGATAATCTGCATGACCCCATCGCTCATCCACTCTCTACCCCCCCCCCTCCCCTCCCTCCCCAGTCCACCTCTTCATCATCTTTAAATATAACTCGTCTTCAGTCATACACCAGTCTTAAAAAAAGAAACCTTTCAACTCTGAATGAATGTGCAAAAATTTTGTAGCACCCTTGGCTTCTTTTTCCACAGAGGGAGTGTTTTCCATCTCCCTTGCACGTGTTGCTGAATCCTTTTAATCTCATGCCATTCCAGCCTCCTCTTTTCACATTTGACATGCCACCCAATAAAGCCCGGCCACTAATTAAAACCTACTGCAGCCTCCACATAAAAGATTCCAAGGGGAAAAACTCAGAGGAAAATTACTAATTACTTTAATATCATTTATGTCTGGGAGTCGTCAAAAAAAGACAGAGGTTTGGACAGTTATTATTTTTCAAATCTTGCATTCTGTATCAGTGATGCCTTTCCAACATTTTGAGTCACCGCCCGATCTGCAGATTTCTTTGTTGAAGGCTTTCTGGGGATGGGTTTTTTTTTTTTTTTTGGGTTGCGCTTGAAAAGCAGCGCTGCATTTTTCCCCGTTGAGCCAGTTTAGATCTGGGTTTGTTCTGGTGTGGTTTGTTGAGCATGTTGTTTATGGTGAGGGCCTATACTTTCTGCAGTTTGATGAGCTTCAAATAAAACGGGACCAAATGAATGGGCCTGTCAGTGGGGGTTACACTTGTGCTGAGCTGTGGTTCAGTGTTTCGGTGAATCTCAAATGTGCGCACACACACACAAACACACACACACACACACCCATAACCATACATGGATGTTTGAATACATAGATTCTCTCTTTTACAGACACTTATCATCTTGTCTGTCCTTGAAGAAGCACACGACTGCAGCGCTGCTTTTAACCAGAGCGAGCTCACCATGCGAGGGGAAGGCTGCGTTTTATGACAGCGACAAACGATAGCTGGTTTTATTTTAATGGGCTGGTTTGTTTGTTTTAAAGGCACAGTAATTCTGTCATGCCATCCAACATGTGTCCTGCACAGTTGGTAGTGTTGGCTGCCTTTGTGTAAGCTGCTGGAGCGAAGTGGAGTTTAAATATTTTGGTTGGCCTGACTTTGTATCGGTTTAGCAGCGTATCAGCAGCAGCTTCACACTGGCTCAGTTTAGAGAGTCTTTGGTCAACTGTGACTGAATTCTTTGGTTTTTCTCAACTGCACTTGTGATTGTTTGATGATTTACTCCTCAGTTGTGAAGTTGGATTACACTGCCTCACATTGGTTTGGTAAAGCTAATGAAAATCCAGGCAAGAGGAGAAAATCTTATGCAAATTTTTTCATGTGATTTTTGCTCCAACGATTCATTATGTCAATTTCATTAAAGCTCCTCCAGTCTAAAGGTCTCTGTCCATGTGTAGTGTGATTATAGATCAGGTCTAGCTTCTATATTAATACTGTGAAAGTATCAAAGCCTCAGTCCACAGAGAAATGCACACAGCCTGTATTCAGAAACTGAGCCTTAAAACCAGCCGTCAGGACTTCTGGAACTTTGTGATGTCACAACAAAGCAGTCACCAAGCCCCGCCCACCTGGACCCACCATCCAAACCTTGCAGGATTTGGTTTCTCTGAGTGTTTTTACCTGAATCCTGCTATATTTTTATTGGATCACTCAGAAAACAGTCAGCCAATCAGAAGAGAGGCTCAGAGCCTCCTCTCTTCTGATTGGCTCACTGACCTGTTGTTACTAGAGCTGCAGAGAGAAGCCTGAGAGAGGAGATGTGAAACTACACTGAGATGGTTTTTATATCTTCTGATGGATCAACACTTCAAATAAAACACAGAAGAAGAAACATGGAGCTTTAAGTTAAGGGACTCACTCGATCATCAGAGGCTGACAAATCTTAACGTCAAGCTCTGAAACCACTCAGTCCTTCATTTCCCATAATGCAACTCAAGAGCATCTTTCATTACTACCTGTTGAATGCCTACCTTTCTAACTCTACTCAATTTTCTGTTATAAATTTGTAGTTTCCAAGCCCAATTTAAGACGACCCTGATGATGTCGTTAAGAGCCAATGAAGTCAATCGAGGCGAATTGAAAACTCATTTTTCAGTCTATTGACTGTGGTCGTTGCAGCTGTTGTCTAGTTGTACTGTTCATCTATTTGTTTGTTCAGCTTATTCAGCCAGATGTCACACTGTGATAATAATAAAAATGCAGTGACTAAAATAGAAAAATCAGCATGCAGAGGAGGATTAAAATGTTTTAATACAGACAGTATGTACTAGGTACTGCTGACAAAAACCAAAGCATGAAGAACAGAAGTCAAGAAAATAACACATTCACGAGAAAGCACATAAAACACATTAAAACAGTGACCACAATGGACCACATGTGCAGTAGCAGTTGTTAGCGTGATGACTCGGAGTGCTGATGACCGTCTGTATCTTCATTGTAGGAATGCTGCTGGTGACTGCCGACACTCTGGGCCACGACTTTCACGTCTTCCAGATCCTCACCCACCCATGGGCGTCGTCACAGAGCGCTGTTCACCATCTGTACACCCTGCATCGTGGGGAAACTGAGGCCAAGGTCTGAAACACACACACACACACACACACACACACACATACACACAACAGTTATAAAGTTGACGTCCCATCAGATTTTCATGGAGGAAATCGAGTCGTAACTGTCAAATCCGATCACACAAACACGATACACACGATTTTAGATTAATTGTGACGAACAGTTTTTGGGGATACAGTTATCTCCAATGTCCGTTGCAAATGAATGTCAGTAAACCTACTTAGAAATCACAGAAAAACTGTTCATAGTTGGTAGACTGTGTAGAAGATCCAGCGATCCTCCTCTCAGCTGTCCAATTGACTGGATTCATCTCCTTCCAAACTACATACACATTTAGAAACAGAAACAAGTGGTGGGAGAAATTAGCCATGACAAGTTAAGTAAAACATTCAACCACTGGTTCACAAAAACATGAAAGAACAAATGTCACATGTTGCAATCTTCTAAACCACCCACTGTTTTCTGCTTCCCACCAGAGTCGTGGTGTTTTAGGGGAACATGTTGGAGAGTTTGTTGTGCTGTGTTACAATATGATGCCCATTATAAAGATGCTGCCTCTGTTTGTTTTAAAGTAGTTCTAGATGTGCTCATGACACTGCGCTCTGCTAGTTGCCGCTTCTAACACAATCGTAGAAACTCAGTAGAACTGATTGGAAGGTTAAAGCTGTAAACCAACTGCAACCTCCCACACGATCAACCGAGCCACGCAAACCCACGCAACTCACGCAAACCCACGCAACTCACGCAAACCCACGCAAACTCACGCAAACCCATGCAACCCACGCAAACCCACGCAACCCACGCAAACCCACGCAAACCCACGCAACTCACGCAAACCCACGCAACTCACGCAAACCCACGCAACTCACGAAAAACCCACGCAACTCACGCAAACCCACGCAACTCACGCAAACCCACGCAACTCACGCAAACCCACGCAAACTCACGCAAACCCATGCAACCCACGCAAACCCACGCAACCCACGCAACTCACGCAAACCCCCGCAAACCCACGCAAACCCACGCAAACCCACGCAACTCACGCAAACCCACGCAACTCACGCAAACCCACGCAACTCACGAAAAACCCACGCAACTCACGCAAACCCACGCAACTCACGCAAACCCACGCAAACCCACGCAAACCCACGCAACTCACACAACTCACGCAAACCCACGCAAACCCACGCAAACTCACGCAAACCCACGCAACTCACGCAAACCCACGCAACTCACGTAAACCCATGCAACTCACGCAACTCACGCAAACCCACGCAACTCACGCAACTCACGTAAACCCACACAACTCACGCAACTCGCACAACTCACGCAAACCCACGCAACTCACGCAAAGCCACGCAAACCCACCCAACCCACGCAAACCCACGCAACTCACGCAACCCACGCAACTCACGCAGCCCACTTGAACCATCTTACCCATGTAACATGTCTTGGCCACACCATACATACACAATACATCTAACCCTTATTTAACGGGGGACGTATTTAGACGAGGAGGGAAACACAGACTAATTTGTTGAAAGAATTCGTAGATTAAAAAGGTTTATTGTTCATAAATGCAGATATTTCTATAATGTATAATATAATTCTCTCTTTGAACCTCCCTGTGTGTTCCCAACTGTGACACGCAGAAACTCTGTGGTACAGGTTAGAAGTGCTTACTCAACAAAAGTACTTCAGGCCTTGTTCGGTTCAGGATTATTGACTGGCACACCCACACCCTCACAGCCTGCCTGTGGTTAATGTATGACCGAACGGCAGGTCCGCTGACCGGCTGCACACTGAGCCTGCTTTGATCCAGCCCGTTGTAAACAGTGAGCGCTGGCCTTAGCCTAGCGCTAGGGCCAGAGGTTATCACCACACACTCACACACACAGCGCGCACACACACACTCTCGGACACACACTAGAGCGTGATAAAGTCTTTGGTGAGGTGGGTGGAGAGACGCCTTATCTGTCTCCGGTGGCCAAACATGCGGCTGGCTGTCAGTGACCTGAGGCCAGGTAAACAGACCCGCAGCTGATAACAGCCGTGAGGGGCGAGCACCAGTCCCAGGGGTTACGAGGATGGCACTGCTAAACTGCACCATCAGCTGTGATTCCAGTAACAGGGGTTTATGAAGGCCAATCATATCGCTGTTCACGAGAAAACCCATTTTCAACAATCAAGCGCGGGGTATGTGAGAAACCCGATTTCCCTCGCTTGCCCTCCTCCCGGAGAAGAAGCTGATTTCTTGGCCATTTATACAGGAAATGAGTTTTTAATGGGCTTTTTACAAATACAGGACAAAGACCTCAGGGAGAAGACCTCTGTGACAGCAGAGAGGGGAGGATCGTTACATCTTCATATTCCAAATAAATTAATCGACTCATTATGTCGACAACTGACAAGTGGGTTTCCACATTTTTGTAAAATTAAAAAAACAGATCCTCTCACGGAGCTGTCTGTCTGAAAGCTCTGACAAAAAAAAAAATCTATCAGGGAGAAGCTTCAAAAACACAAGCAGTGGTTCTAAAGTAATGTCTGGGTTAACTAGAAATCTGACTGCTGAGCCCTAAAACACCTGGTTTCTCAGAGTAACCTGGTCTCCATCGTAGTGCAGTTTGATTTTATTCAAAAACCAGATTCATTTCCATGTTAAAACATTTCATTTCAGTATTAAAATTGAACCTTTTTGGCCAAAAAATGGCCAATAAAACATTTTATTGGTGCAAAACATGAGCTCTTGGCTCCTTAAGGCCTGTAAATATTGACTTTGGCCTGTTAAACACATATTGGTCAATTCCTCATGACTAAATTAGTGTTTTTAGTAGTATTAGTACATTGAGTGTTTCCACAGAATTTGAAAGCGTGGGTACGTCCTTAAAGCCGCCATGCTGTCCCTCTGCCCACCGTTACCACTGCTACTGTTTCTCATTCTAACAGATCAAATGATGCAAGTGAATAGATTCAATTAATAGTGTTAGTATGTACAACCAATGAAGTGTTATATAAGGGTGTTTCATCAGTCAAAATTAGTCTTATCCAAAGTTCGACCACATTTATTGGTTTTTAATTTCGGCCATTTTGAAGCATCAGAGCTGTGACTGATGTTTGCTCGTGTGTCTTCAGTCTTGTGTCTCTCTGTCCGTCTTCGTCACATTCCTGTCGTTTCTTTACGGCGTTTCCTCTCAGGTGATCAGAGCTGCCCCTAATCTCCCTGAACCAGTGTCACTTATTTATAAAGAAAAGAGAAAGTCAGAGGCCTTAAACAACCCCCCCCCCCCCTCGACTGTCATCAAACCCTCTGTGCTGAGGGAGGGAGGGAGGGAGCAGCTCTGCGGCCTCTCAGGAATGTGCTGCCTCTGTAACGACACATGCACGTGACTGAGCGCAGTTACATTCCAGCTCTTTAAGATAACATTTGACAACTATTTGATAATGTGGCATGCGGTTGTCGCACTATGACTGTACAATCACAGCCACCCTTCAGGTAATAACCCCCCACCCCCCCACCCCACCGCCACCCCTACCCGTCCCCCTCCATAAAATGGATTTGACACTAAAGTCCAGGCGCCCGTTTACAGTTGGAGCTCTGACAGGTCTTATTATGACCAATTTACGAAACACACAAAGTAGCCCTTTCTCATCTCTGAGGCATCTCTAATCAGCCCCAGCAGAGGTCAGGCCTCCTCTTTCACCCATCTTTGTGAAGTAAAGTAACCGTCTGGTATGCGGAGGATACCCCATTAACTGTCATTGCTGGGGGCAATTACCTAGTCTGACCTGGCAAAAGATTAGAAAGGCCTGCAGGTCCAGAGCTGTCTCTCTGACTGGCTGACTAAAGACTTAGACATTCCTCCTCTTAACTTTCTCCTGGACCTTTTCCTTTCATTCTCCTCCAGTCCTGTCGTCCACTTTCTCCAGCTTTTTTTTGTTTTGTTTTAATGTCGAAAGATGAATGCTGTTTCAGCACACTATCACCTCATCAGTCTGTCACCTCACTCCTTTGTCCTTTTTCATTTTCTTTTTCCCGCTGTCCTCTGCTTGTGTTGTCTCTTGCAGCCTATCTGTCTGGTTTCCTGCATGTCTAACATGCCCAGGGAGATGCTATCTCCTCAAGTGTCTGCTCGCTGAGAGTCAGTCACTGTTTGAGTAAGGGGGACTAACAAAGGACGCCAGCAGCTCTTTAGTTTTCTGAGTCTTCTGTTTTACCACCAAACAAGCTCGTATCACGTCGCCACCTTTGCCAAAAGCTGTTGTCCAATCATCTCGCGCCGGTCGACTTTCGGTCGCGCGCTCAGAACGATGTGTTTATCCGTGCGATAAACACTTCACCCTGGTCGCGCTAATGTTCCTGGCAGACTGGAGTCTGACGCTGTTTATTCCCACTGTGCATATTTCTTTATGTTGAGTGGTGAAGAAAATAATACAGAAAAAAGACTGGGCCTGTTTTCAACACATCCGTGTAGTGAGGTTTACTCGTGGACTGGACCAAAACCAAACCAGGAACAGATTCCTGAGAGGATGTGAACGTGTCTCAGGCTGAACACTGAGACCTAATTCACATGTTATCATTCCAGAAGAACCTGTCTGCCTCCCACCTTCCAGATGTTCATCATTTTTATACTGATTATTAAAACACAAACAAAACTCGTCAATAGTCACTGTCTGGTAGAAACAGAGAAGAGTGCGGTAGTTACCTGTGAGTCGTCATCTGAAATCCAGCCAGCTGTCACTTTGTAGGTGTGACTCAACAAGCAGCTTAACTGGACCATACCAGGTCAGATCATGTGACCATAGTAAATCCAGTGGAACACATAATGAACCTCTGCCGACGTGTCTGCAGTCTCTACATATTATAAATTATTATGCATTAAAGACAAAGGTAAAAGACTTTGTAAAGAAATGCAAAGTGAGGCATCTTTTTGATAAAAACAAAAGTGCCTGTAAAACTGGTGCAACAGCCACAGTCAATCTGCTCTTGTGTCTTTGTATTTTTGTTGATTTTATTTTTGTTTTTTTTGGGATGAAAACACTAAAGTTTAAACATGCTGCACACATGCTCATCTGTTCCCTGACCTCTGACCCTGTTCTGTCTCTGTCCAGGTCCAGGACATGTGTTTCAGCCAAGACAGTCGCTGGGTGGCGATCAGCACCCTGCGCGGCACCACCCACGTCTTTCCCATCAACCCTTACGGCGGCGCGCCTTGCGCCCGCACCCACATGTCCCCGCGGGTCGTCAACCGGATGTCCCGCTTTCAAAAGAGCGCCGGCCTGGAGGAGATCGAGCAGGAGCTGAACAGGGCGGCCGCCTTAGGAGGAGCAGGAGGAGGAGTCATAGGAGGAGGCGGTTGCATCCTGGGCGGAGGAGGAGGCATCGGGGGCCGCTGTAGTCCCATACCAGGCCTGTCCAGCAGCCCCTCGGGGTCTCCACTGCACGGTGAGGAGCTGGGAGGGAGGGAGGGAAGCAAGTGTGTCCATAAAATGTCAGAAATAAAATGTCAGAAAACGTTCAGACAGCTGCAGGTGATTTAGATTTTATTCTGGATATAGATTGATCGTTCAGCCTGAGGGAGTTTAGCTTAGTGAGCGCTAACATGCAACAAACAGGTATTTCAATTCAACTTTAACATGACAATCACTGGTTAATGCTGCTGCGTCTATATGTGTCAACCATGTGACCCCCCCCCCCACCACCACCACCACACCCCCTTCGCTAAAGCCCCCTAGCAGTTGCTAAATGCTAGAAATTACCAAGTGTGTGTGTGTGTGTGTGTGTGTGTGTGTGTTTCCAGTGACTGGTCATGTCAGTAGCTGTTTTCCAGGGACTCTGATCTCTCTGCCACAACCTTGTCTCCCTTGTTTGTCAAACACCGTTGCAGGCAGCTCACACACACACACACACACACACACACACACACACACACTCTGTCTGTGTGTCCCTAGCTGACACAGATACACACTGATAAACACACACTTTGTGTCAGCTGCACTGCTTGACCCCAGAGGTGTTACTCAGTGTAAAATATCACGGTTCTCATTAATCACGGGTTTCCAGGAACACCCCTGAGCTTTGATAGGTTTACTGCAGCCGGGGGCCGAGGTCGGTCGAGCGCCTGATAAACACTTCAGAGAAGCGAATGACCGGGAATTGATCAGTGGGTAATTTTACATAATATAGTAGAATATACTTCAGAGCTTCTTTCATACGCTCATTGCACAAGGTGGTTTGTGGCTTGTAGTGGAGGGGGGAAACCAGATCTCTGACCCTTTTCAAAATGCTGCAACAATTCAGGATGAAATAACAGTTTTAGGACATGGGAGTGTCGTGGAAAGTCACTGACTCGTAAAATGAATATCGTGGCGGCAGCTGTGCGATATATTCCACAGAAGATCTATTTTAAGTGCACCTTTGCTCGCGTTCAGACCAGTTTCCAAAACCACATTTGGTGCTGCGTAGGTTTCTACCCAAAGAGGAGGAAAGATGTCTACCGTAGTGTTAAAGACACCCCCCCCACCCCCCCCAGAATGCTCCACGCTGAGCGTCATCTTTTGTTCCTTTTTATCTTCACTTCCTGTTAATATCTCTTCTCGCATTAGACCATCATCAGAGGAGGGACGGGCTCGATATGATTGATGAACATGATTTTTGTTGCTTATCGTCCAGTGCTATTTTCATATTTCGTTCAGTCTGGAGTTTTAGGTTATTGCCGGGACGGTGGGGGTCAGGTCAGGGTCGGGTCATATTCTTATTTGCCTGCCCCAGATATCGCAATGCACCCCCAGCCCCATACACACACACACACACACACACACACACACACACACTCTCTCTCTCTCTCTCTTCAAAGATGGCACCCGTACTTCCTCTCTCCTTCCCGTCCTCCTTGTCTAGACCCGAACCCTTCTGTAACCCCTACAACAAAATACACACTCACTCACACACACACTCACACACACACGCACACATTCCTCCGCACTGTGAAAAAGAGGCCATCAAACATTAAAAGGACGTCTGACTCCGGAGCGTCACCGCTCTGCTGCGATGAGAGACAGAGAGGGACAGCAACATCAAAGTGGCGTAGGAGGTGAAAGTGAGCGAGCAAAGTAATGAGGTGCAATTGAGAAAAACGAAGGAGAGATAGAACAAGGGGGAATAAAGGAGGGAGGTGGGGGGGGGAGAGATAAGTTTGTAGTAGCAGCGCTGAAAGCCGGGGTCTCTGGGAGCGCGGTCGTAAATCACACTTTAGTTTCAAAGGGGAGCATTAGGGCCACCTGTCAACAATTAGTCCTCGCAGTGATACCTCTGTGAGTGCGCGTGCGTCCGTGCGGATCTGAGAAGATAAACCATCTCCAAACACACGTCGTGTTTTTAATGGTTAAAAATCTAAGATTACGCTCGAGTCCTCGGGAGCAAATTGAAGGTTTTCGTAGCTCTTGATATTTGACAGTGTGTGACAGAGTCCACAGGAAATTGAAGTCAGGTTTCACACCGCTTTTATCGAGGTGTTAATCCGCACCAGACGCACACGGCCTCACGTCCTGATAAAAACACCAAGTCCCCGACTCCGTCAGCTGCGAGGCGCGGCTCGCATGTTGTGCACTTATAGTGTTACAGCCTCGTGTTTATTATCATGTGTGGCAATTTTAAAGTTCAGTATGTTACACTGACCCGCCCTTGTTCTGTAAAGTGAGATACGTCTGTGTTTCTGAAAACACCTGCACCTTTTACCCCCCCCCACACACACACACACACACACACACACACACACACACACACACAAACACTCAGCTCGCCTCTCAGCTTGAGGTGTAACACGTCGTGTCTGACCTGAGATCAGACCTCAGTCAGTGACGCAACAGCTTCTCTGAGCTCTTTACATCCGCAGATCTCTCCGTCACCATGACGATATTATTTATCAGTTAATGTGACTGTATCTTTTTCACATGGGGAGAAAATGCACAGTTAAAGTTTAGAAAGTTTATTAGATCATGAATTACTTGTTTTTTTTTCCAGTGTGAAGATTATTTTAAGTAAGTGAAGCCATTTAGTTTCCACGTAGTTTTCAGATTTGTTTCTCATCAGAAAAGTAGAATTGAATATCTTCAGAAACATATTTAAGACTTTATTTCAGTTGCTGTTTTTTGTAGCTCATTTTTAATGTTCTCCCTGCACATTATGAACTACACAGTTTATATATTCAGTAATAAATTCAACTTGTCAGACACAACAAGACGGTCCTCACCCTGGAGAGCAGCAGCCGTATATTTATCTGCTGCGGCAGCACCGAGGAGCACACAACACAGCGGGTCATTTACAGTTCAGCAGAGGGGTAAGGTCATGTAGGTCTCCTGGTGTCTGTTATTTGGAAGATAAATTGGCTCCAGCGCATCCTGCCACATGTAAATTTAGACATCCACCGCCCCTCCAGCGCTGCGGCTGCCACCGGCGTTGATAAAAAAACTCCATAATTTGTGTCGTTTCTTTTTCCCCGGATGCGAACGCAACTTGAGTCACATTTGCTTTTGTGTTTTGACTTCCGTCTGTTTTTGCGAGTAGGGTGTGAATTTTGGGCAGCGCAGGCGGTTTTTCTCCAGGCTGGCAGAGAGCGGCAGGGTGAGGCGAGCTGGGGCCGGGCCACCTAGCCACAACAGCTGCTCTGTGATTGTCGCCAGCGAGGACAGCATTGATTTTTGGGAAGGAACTGTAGAAAAGTACACATCCTCCTCAAAGCTGCCAGCCCAGGCCGCCGGCCCGCCTAAAAATAGAGGCTGCAATTGGCCGTCTTCTTGTCACTGTTAAAATCTGGGATGGCTATTTACGTCCCTGTATACAGTACATTTTCTCTCCCCTCCTCCTCCTTCTTCTCCTTCTTCTTTTTTTTTCTCCCCCCTCCGTGTGATCAATGTATTGTCATTTGAGGTGATGACCCATAATGTGAACGTCCCACACTGTAAAATGCGGCTTGTCTGCGGCCCAGTGCATACAAGGCTAGATTAGTGAGTGCAGTTTCTCTGCACAGGGCAGAGGTTATTGAGGCTATAGCAGGCATATGGCCGCCACCGAGGAGTTTTATTATTCAGATGTTTTTCAGATGCGACCGCGGCGCTGTATAACGCAGCAGCGTGCAGTGCAAACAGGTTTAAAGTGCTCCAAAAACAACTTGATCACAATAATCTAAAAAACCATCTTTGATTTTTCACTTGACCCGGGTCCAGATGTCTTCGCCCTCTGGCGCTGCAGTCGGAGACCAAGCTTTTTATTTGACTGATTTCAGGTCAGTTTTTTGTTTCTCGAAGTCTGACGCCCGGCAACGACTGTCACATATGGCGTTTTTCAACATGCATGGGTGCCTTTTGTGTGTATACACAGCGCTGGTCGTACACTTCCCACACCGTGCAACATCAACACAAGGCTATTAGTCAGTGCAACAGATTTGTTTCCTCACCGAGCAGAAACCCTGGTGGTCCGATCGCGGGGCCATCTGGGCCCTGGCGCTGGTTCAGAGAGAGAGGGGGAGGCAGAAAACAAGGTGTGACGGGAAACTGTTAATTCACTTGTTGATAAAGGGACACTTCCTCTCTGCTATTAGAGGCTGACGGCTTGCTTATTTGGGTTTTGGACTTTTGTTTTATCTCGCCTCCCCTCCTCCCACGGCGCTCCCCAACCCCCCCCCCGCACTTCTTTTCGTCAGTCATCGTGCTGTGGTGAAAAACACCAACGCCGCGCGGAGGTCGATGCCAAGGAAAAATTACCTCATAACTGCTGGCGTGTGACACGTATGTACACGGCCTCGGCGTGACCCTGTCTCTGACAGTATAGTTACTGTAAGTTAAACAGTTACAGGCGAGGACGTTGAAACCTCGGCTTCACGCAGATAGAGGATGGATTCAGCAGAGCGGGTTACCATGTTCCTTTCACAAATGGTGTAAACAGCACGAGGCGGCGAGATAGATGACTTGTCCAGACTTCAGTCATCATGATGAGCTGTCTGCCGCGGATTAGTGTCCAGCCTGAGGCCGAGCCATCCAGCGTTCGTAAAACCACCAGGCCCACATGTGCACCGTGGTTTTTAATTTTAACTTTGCTCTTTCATTTTACTTTTTCTTTTTTTACTTCTGTGTCCCATTGTTGTTGCTCTGACCTCGTTACTCTGTCGCCACTAGCTTCATGTAGGTCCCTGAACCGAGTCGCACGCCTCACACCCCGCTCGGACAGATCCTTTAAAGACATGCGCAGCGTCACAGATGAGCAGGTAGCAGCAGATTTAAGGTTAAATAAATAAATCCAGATCACACACTTCACCACGTCGAGGCAGACTGTATTAAAATAAAACAAACAAAGCTCTGATGGTGTTCACACTGTTGTCTCCATGAAATGAAAACCACAGAACACACAGAGCAGCGGTTCTCCAGCCTTTTCACACCGAGGACACTGAC